GGGTTTGAACCGCCAGCCCTCTGGTTAGCAGGCAAATGTCTTAGCCACTATGCTACCAGAGCTCCTACAGTACCTAACAAAAAGCTTACACAATTAGCTAGAGGAAAAGACAAGAAAGCTAATGTCTCTGAAAATTTTATAAGCCTTTTTCAGTAAAGAACATAGATCTGAAAGATCAGTAGATCAGAAAAATGGGAAGAGGAAAACAAAAAACACAGTGAAACAAAACTAGTCAGATGTCAAGGCTATATTGAAAAGTAATTACATTTCTAAAGAGACACTTCATACTGTACACAGCACCACCTTGAGGAAAACAATAGGAAATACTGTTTCATGTTTGTTGTCTTTATGTGCTATCCAGTGGGACCTGACTCATAGCGACCCCTCCTTGGGTTTCCAAGGCAGTATCACTTGAACCTCCACACTTCTGGTTAGCAAGCAAGTGCCTTAGGCACTATGCTGCATAGCTCCATTTCATGTTTAATCAAACCCAATTCATTCATTGATTTATTCATTCAATATTTACTGAGCACTTCCAGGTAAATCAGGAGCCCTGGTGGTACAGTGGTTAAAACAGCTCTTGGCTGCTAATTGAAAAGTCCGTAGTTGAAATCTACCAGTCACTCCACAGGAGAAAAATGTGGCAGTCAGATTTCACAAAGATTTATAGCCTTGGAAACCCCATGAGGCAGTTCTACTCTATCCTATAGGGTACAGATGGATCAGAATCAACTCAGTGGAATGGGTTTGGTTTGTTTTTCACCAGGTGTAGGAGGCATTGTTCTAGATGCTTGAGAAGAACCAAAAATAACAACAACAAATTCCTGCTCTCTTGGAACTTATTTATCAAGTAAAGCAACTTTGTTTTTAAATAATTTATGGTTATATTAACTTTACAATTTTTCGGAAGTGTGGTAAGAATTTAAGGGAAGTCTTTTCCACTGAACACAAACAAAAACAACCCATCAAGAGTTTTTCTTTTTAATCGGTTTTCACAGAAGGGAATTGTTTAAATCGGGGTATATTTGTACCTCTCCACAGGCAATTCTCAGAGTATTTGAATAAATGTATAGTGGATGCCTTGGCCTCATCTGCTCTTCAGGACCAAGACACATCCTTCCAGCTTCCAGGAGCATAGGCTTATGAAATCTCACAACTATTATCACCTCCTCGAATGTTTGTACCCCACATCAACCAGTTATTGGGTAGTAGCTGTCACTCTCCCTTTGCTCTCCACATTCCCCTTCCACCAGAGAGGGGTTTAGATGTGGGCAAGGCTGGGTTCAGAAGGTCAAAAGTAAGTAAATGAATTAAAAATTTTAGCACTATCCCAGGCATGTGATGATGGTGTCTTGCAATGTGGATGGTTTGAGGTAGTAGGAGTTGGGATATATTTCCAAGGTTGAGCTACCAGCATTTACTGATGGATTGGCTTTCCACTGGAGGGCAGATCATAGTGAATGTGAAGGAGTGACACAATATGGCTAGTGAGAAAATCAATCCGAAGTTCTTCTCTGAATATTTTACTACCCCTGCATTGAATAGGACATATCATTCTGGCTTCGCTTTACTACTAATGTCATTGTACTATAGAATACGGGTATATTTAACATGACAACCAAACTTGCTGATGCTTGTCCAAAGGCTCCCTCATAGTAACAATCAAAATGTTTTACTTTAGAGTTTTATTTAAACAACCTCAGCAGTTTGTATGACACATTGAAAGTACTTAAAAGTTTGAGACTGAGTTTGTTTATACCCTCTCATATGTCCGAGTGCAGGTAACATTGTTCACGGTACTTTTCTGGAAGACAAAACAAGAATGAATTATTTCAGTATTGTTGGTAAAACTGACATTTAGAAAAATGCAAACTATATGTTGTTGCTGTTGTGAGCCGTCAAGTCAATTCTGAGTCATAGTGACCCTATAAGATAGAACAAAACAGCCACCACAGGGTTTCTAATGCTGTATGCAGACTATTATTGTTGTTGTTGTTATGTGCCGTGGAGTCCGACCCAACTCAGCGACCCCTCCTTGGGTTTCCGAGGCAGTATAACTACCGAAGTACATTGCCCCATCTTCCTTCCAAGGAGTGGCTGGTGGATTAAGAGGTATTAATTCAAACAGAACAAGTGGATAGTGTGTGATTTAAAATCAGAAACAATGCACGTCAGAGTTGCATCTTTTTGCCATACTTATTCAATGTGTATGCCAAGCTAATAATCGGGGAAGCTGAACCATATGAATAAGAATATGGTATCAAGATTGGAGTCTCTCCTCATCAAGAAGAAAGAAGAAAACCAAAATTAATGGAAACAATCAGTCCTAGCGACTGGTACACCA